AATGAGCCAGAATTGCGCTTGATATCGACTTAGTTTCGCCTCTGTTTAGCCAATAGGGTGACGCTCTTGCATGCGCTTGGATAGACGCCTACTCGTTCGACCAATGTAACTTGCCCCACGGGAGCCTAAAACTTTCGTTAAGTTTACCCGCCCTTATATAAAATTTATTTACATTTTGGGACACCCTTTATAGTAAATAGCATTGGTTTTATGTTTTATGAAAGTTAGACGTAGAAAGGGAGATTTTTTTTGTATTACGAAATTACATTTGTTTGCATGAATTGAAGCCCTGCTCGCTCTTTTCAAATTGAAGGAGTGTAGATTTTACTTTGGGCTGTTTGAAAAGACATCGTTATATTCATAAAACGATAGAAAAAATAGAAATCTGAATGGTAGTGCACTTACAAAGGTTGCTAAATTGGTTATAACTACGTTTTTTTAAGAAGACTTTACCCCTTAATCTCAAGTATATATGAACGGTCAACATTTAAAAAAAACTTGCTTTAAATCTTTCCTGGAGCATATGACTTAATTTTACAGTTATCCAAAATCAGATTATAGCAAAATGTACATATGGCGTCCTTCTCACGCGGTGGACGATCGCTTATTAATTACGTAAGTATTTTGTGCAGTGCTCCTATTGTGTACATCTTGACTTCAGCTAGTGCGTTTGCTTGAAAATATGCATCCAATTACTCCATCAATGTTTTTGGATTAACGTTGTCTGTAGGAGGTAAATATAAATGCAACCAAGGCAAAACTAATTTGAAACATTTTTGTAAGGCCATGATATGTATACTGCATTCAGAATTGAGATTGATAGTAAAAAAATGCCCGAGGTACATCACATAAGCACGCACCTTCTTTCTAATGCCTTATTAATTGTTGATTGCAGTGGATTTCCCATCTCATGAAATTTAAACCGAAATTATGTCATGCGCTTTCGATCGAGAAGGAATTAAATAAGTTAGATAGTAATATAGATTAGCATGTGACGTTATCCAGAAATGTTTCAGCCACATCAGGATGCCGGCTTCCGAACGAACTTCGTCCTCATCGCCCGAAAAGTGTATACTAGGTAAACAATGGTTACTTAATTAGTATGCAATCCGATGCGCTTATAATTTGAACTATAATTCATAGAAAACATATGCCAACGTATTCTGTCGTGTAATACTTTTGTAGAAGGCCATGCGATATTCAAATTTTATACCTGGAGAAGGGATATCTTTTCAGTATTTACGCTTGTGTGCAAATTTCCAAGCAAATATATCATTGAAAGAAGGTGTATCCTGTTACCAAAAGAGTACATTAAAGGATGTTTTTGTGCATGTTTTCTATAAAATAATTTTGAATTCATAAGGGCTTCAAAAACTAATGGAAAAATGCATACTACATAAGTAACCCTACTGTTACCAAATATATTCTCTGGAGGAGATAGGAGATGAACTGTATTGCTCAAAAAGCAACAAAATCAGATGGTGCATACGGACCATCATAATTTTTATTTTCCAGTCTGAGGACTGAGAACTTTGTTCTCCCCGGCCGCAAGCGCTGCACATCGATGATTTCAAAATTTTCGTATTCACTATCGACCAATAAGACTGACAATTGATTGGCGAACAACTCACAGTACATTATATCACAACTGAGCTCATAAAACATAACAATGTACTTGCAGCGATATCTGTATAGCAGGGCACTCAAAGACTTCAGATACTTTCTCGTATTCACCACCGTGCTGTAGGAGATAACAAAATCTCCGATGGGTATAACGTCATCACCGCTGGCTTCGGGGTCAAGGGTCTCACCCTTAATGGTATTGCGGCATACATAGCCGATATGATAGAAACTAAGATTGTGCGAATCCTGCTCACCCAGGGATATCCAATCAGACACAAGGCCACAGTCGCCTGTCATGGGTGGACCAATGAAGACAAAAAACTCGTTGTGCCGGGCTGCTGTGCTATTCATTGTGCTCATGGCGGCTAATACCGCGCTAGTTCGTCCGTTTTGTCTCAGAGTGCAGCCTGAAATGCTGAAGAAGTAGAAAAATATTTGCAGATTTGGTGGGATACCAGGCTGGTGCCAGCCCTCCAAATTTTCAATGGCTTCGACAGGGAAGACGAGACTGAAGGGATAGTCAAGGAGTTCAAACGTTGGTCCACTGATTCCTTCGGTGAGGCAGATGTTCAGTCAGAGCTGCCCGTAGAGAGGACATTGGAGTAAGAGGCCATAGAAAACTATGAAATTGAATGGACTTGGTCCTAACATGACGGTAGCAGATTGAAACGCCAAGTATGAAGAAGGAGTTAGGAGTTCCAGCGATTTAGAGAGCTCCTTTTAAAAGGCCACTTTTTCAGCGTTTATTGGTTGATGAAATCCTATTTGGTGTAAGAGCACCCGAAGCATGAAGTGGACATCAAAAACATAGCCTACCGCATAATTCGGCCGCGCAAATCGCAGCCACAAAGTAGTCATTTCTTGGCCACGGCTGACGTCAAACACGCAAGGCTTCTGCGATGGGGTAGTCCCTGGATGTTACTTTTTGATCAAAATGCGCGAAGACTGAATGTGGTTGAGTCTTACGCCAGCGCGAAAGCTCTACTTGTCTCCAATTAAAGCGAGAATGTGCGCTCGCATGAATTTTTGTCAGAGGCAGATGAAAATGGCGAAGAAAACAAAACTTCAGTATGGAATTCAAACGACATTTTAATAAAACGTTTTCTATACACCAGATAATTCAGCAGAACCTCGCTTTTTCTGTATGGCCAAACACAGTATGCTGACCTAAGTTAATGAGTGCCGAAAGGTCTCATGATTACAAGAGGGTGACAGCATCTTTCTTATTTATTTAAATGCTTGCACAAGGGGATTTTTAGAGCAAATGGATGATCAGTTGCTTAACTACATTAGTATGGCAAAGAAAATTAGCAAATTAAGGGGTACATTAGAAAACAATAAGGAAGTGATGTTTCAATAAATGTGCGCCAAAACAGAGAGTATATTTGCACCCACTATATTTGCTAGCCAAAATACTGAAATGTGTTTTCGATTC